ATAAAGAATGAATTAATTAGTAACCAAGATATTTACTATCGGCCAAAGAATAACAGAAATATATAATTAGCTCATGATCCCATCAAAATTCTGAAAGAAAGAGTTCAATCTAGTATCTCTCAAACTCATGATCTATATATCTCAACTAGCTTCTCACTAGGATAGCTGATTATACTTGAGGATCAATCAATTGCTTCAAAAAATACTATGCAATATTACTTAATAATTTTAAACAATATGTCTATCACTAAAAACTAAAAAGATTAAAGTTTTAGACAATAGAAATGATATAGAATGCAAATAAACAATATTAATACATAATCATATCAGATTGACTTTTTGGATCAGAGCTTTTTCTTCTTTAGAAAGAACTTCGTTTATCTATTGGATTGCTTATGGTCTGTATTTCAGTTGAACAATTGGATTTTAGGATTGAGCTCAATTGGACAAGATGGAATTCAGATCAACACTGATCTGATCCAAGCAATCGGATTATACTAAGGATACAAATTACAAAAGATCATTAAACTAGACAGCAGATCCAGATAATGATGAAATTCACATATCACACTTCCAAAGATTTGAACATGTAACACCACAATCTGCAAATAAGAAAACCATAAACCACTAACCCCATAGTGACAGCTAAAATTTATAATCCTCTAAGACAATTATAAAAACGAAAAAAAAGTCAATAAGAATGTACAATTATTCATTGTCGTTTAATATGTAAAAATAATAATTCATTCAAACTGAACTCAACAATGCATCCAAGAAACAAGCTATTCCAACAAATGCAAAAAAAAGAAACAAGGATAAATAGAGTATAACCTGAGAGAGTCAAACGTGGAACAATCTCTCTATATCGTGAAAGAGCCTCCTCGAACCCATGACTAGGACGGTGGTCAGGGTAAAAGCTGAAGACAAATTCATCACGTGTAGATGCTACATAAAAAAGAAGGAAAATGTGTGAATAGGAGGGAGATTTAACTAATCAGTGACCAAAGCTGTAGCAAAGGACACTAACCATCACCAAATCCAAAACACGGTATCAAGTTATCCTCATCAAAAGGAGACAAAGTACGCCCAATTATAGAAATTGCTTGCTCATAGGGGTTAGTTGTGTCACCAATAGCATGCAGAGATCTTCTGTTAAATGAATGCCTTCCTACAATTGTTAAATAGCAATGATCCCCCCTCTGAACTATGTGGCGAAAAATATATCCAATCTTAAAAATTGAGTTGATGTAGAAGTATCATAGTGTTTCTGGATGTACAGAAACCCTTTAAAGCACACCTGTCCAGTCATTGCTTTTAGTGAAATCAATACCAAGGATTAAATTTGATGATTCAAGGCCAGCATCTCTTAGTGCAGAAATAACCTAGGGAATAAGAACATGTTTAGCATTAAGGTAGGAAATATATAAATTAATGAAGTAATTGATGGCTAAATTAACAAAATTGCAAAGCTCTGCAACTAACTGTTAATCTAAATATATTTGCATTTTTTTTTCAGATTTCACCCAACAATTATTCTCAGTAATCGATTGGTCATCCAACAAATTCAATTCTTGTAAAAATTTCGAGAAGCAGCCCAACAATCACACAGATGTTAGAACTAATAATCCTTCCACAAGCTTTTACATTATAACATGCATCGTAGAATGTAGATAACCATTATTCAGATATGTTGCTGCATGTTATCTATCACTAAATTCAAATTTGCAAGCCGTGGGCATGGCTACATTTTGTAAAGAATAAAATCTCCATGTAGCTTTTGTAATAATAAACTTCTTAGCTATTCTAATGTTGTAAAAACTGCCGATCAAAGGGATATAGCAAAAATAATCATCAAGAAGTGTGCAGCATATGGGAATAGGACATGGATCATCAAGTATGCATGTAATGAACTTACATAAGCTATTAAAATCAGAAGCCAAGATGCATACCTAAAAGATGTATGGCAATAACCCAAACATCAGTTGGATGATAAGAAATCCTATTGTTTGTAGTCAAATGCTTAGGCAGCAATCAGGCATAAATTACGTTGGCTTGACAGATTGGATCACATATAATGGCCATTAAGATTGGATCAGAATAAGTTTTGAATCATGTAAGCATGAAATTCAGCTGCAGAAAGGCATTTGTTTCTTGTTGGCAAGCAAACTTTTTCTTCTTTCTAAATTTTCTTCCTTGTTTACCTCTTGTTCCTCTCTACCTCATTATACACATTTCTGCCTGGTCACTGACCATCTTACTGTCAAATTGGGTTCAAGCAATAGCTATCCTCCAGATGGCTGACATTTAGATATTTATAGGGAAGAACATTCTTGATTTACTGTGTGCTTGTGAAAAGTCAGGATCTGTTTGTTAAAAGGTAATTGTAGATCGTAAACATCAAAGAATGAAAATACAAGGAGTTTTACTATTTGGCTACACCTAAATGTCAAATCACCAAGATTCTAATTAAAAAAAAAAAAAAACAAAGAGCTATATCTAAAGGATCCTCCATGCTCATTATAGGAACCTAAATACTTTCTGGATTAAAAACTTCAATGAAACTCATAATCAGTTGAAAATTTTGAGATTTCTAGGTTTAGATTAATATGGCAGCCTAAAGATCCAAGACTTGCTTAAATCTTACAATTAAGCTGGATATCTCGAAGATATTTGTGACAGGAAATTCTCAAGAAATATGAATAGCAACACTTAATAGCTCATTAAAAGTTACTAATCTTCTTGTGACAGAGTGATATTCAAAAGATTAAGAGATGCTAGTGAGAATCAATCAATAGACTACACCAAAATAAACATGCTTTGAGCTAAATGGACAGCATATATGTAAAATTTTTCATCAAAATTCTCAACAAAAGTACTAGCGAACAAATTTACCTTGCGAACCTGGCTCATAGACAAGCAATAAAGTGTGAGAATTGAAGCAACAACAAGACCTAGGAATTATTTGTATCTAAATATATTCGAAGTTCTTGGATGACTGAAGCAACAAGAGAACACTTAGAATAATTGAGACCAAACAATATTTAACTTGAAGTTCTTAAACAATCAGCCAAGTGGGTGACTAAACTCAAAGAAATTTGCTAAATGCAATGCCAAGTATTAAAATAATTTAAGGAGTGATGACTGGTTATATACCGAAGAAACAAAACAAGCATGTGGCTACTTATGGGCAAATAAGGTGCAGTGCTTTCTAATATAAGAACCTAAACCTTTTTATCAGAAAGCAACATAATTTACTAAAAAGATGCCAGACCTTGGCTAATGACAGGTAAAACTGATGTGCAGAAATCAATCAATCTTCTAATTTACTGTTTTATGTACCTACTAGAGGAACAAAGAAATTCACCTCTTCAAGCGAGCTGAAATTGTCAGCTATAAATGCTGGTTGCTGCTTATTTTGGTTTTTATTATTAAATGAACTCCCAGCAGTGAAATGAGCTTGCTGAGGATATCTGTGAGAAGATGGGTGAGCATAATTGCGAGTAGAAGGCAAAGGATATTTGCGAGGAGAGGATCCTTCAGCAGAATTTGTGTTGCCCATATAGCTAGAATCTAACAGTACATCCTTTCAATTAATCTGCCCTCGATGTCAAAAGAAAAAGAAATAATGTCAGCAGCGGTAACCACATGGAGGAAACAAGAAGAAAATAAAGGAATTTCTTTCTACAAAAAGAAAGATGATCATTCAATCTTGCCCTGGAGTCCCTGTATCACTATAGTCTGTATCATAATTTGTTCTACGAACATTCTACACAAGCAACAAAACCAGAAACTTTTTTTCCTCAAATTTCTTTTCGAAATCCCTGACACAACTTCGATTTTGACAAATTGGGGGTTTAGAAACTAATGATATAGAAATCGAAGTAATATAACAATGACCCTCATTTTATGAAATAAAAGAACAACAACAATGATAATTTTAAATGAAAAAGAAGGAACACAGGCACCAAAATCATGGTGCATATTTTGCACATGTGACCATGTTGTCTACTTAGGGAAACCACAAGAGTTTCTTCCTAGATACAGTTAATGCATGTGTGGCTGCTAAGTGGAGACATTCTAAGTATGTAGCCATAATGTGATAAGGTGACATAAAACCTAAAAGAGATGATCAGAGAACTGACTCTACATATGCAGCTTTATATTTTGGACCCAAGGATATTGATTTATGGTCAAGCATGTGATTTTGTCCACCACAAAAGAGCTTGTGAAATATTCAGTAAAACTTCACAATAAACAAGACCAACATCTCGAGCTTCATGTCAAATGCTCCAAGTCAGCCATACATGGTCTCATTTTCTAGTTCTGTGTAAACATCATATTCAACCGAAAGTTGCAAAACAGGAAGATCTATGTTTAAGTATTTAACATTTGTACATGAATGACAAATGGACAAATGAAATAAAATGAACAACTTATTATGTACCTCCATTATTCCTGATTGCAAAACAATTAGATTCTGAATCCAGGTCTAAGCAACTTGTTTGACTCCTTAATTAGTCCTACAAATATAAGTCTGAACAAACCTTTTAGTGTACCAAGCAAGGTTTGTCATACCGAATCGTACCGCCCGGTACGGGTGGTACGTACCGGTCCGACAGACTAACGGTACGCGGACCGCCCGCTACCGGTCCGCACTGTAGCAGTGTACTGTAGCACTGTAACAGTACAGTACTGTTGCAGTGTACCGTTATAGTAGCACTACAGTGTATCAATACATTGTAGCAATGCACTGTAGCAGTACTACAGTGCTCAGTACACCTGGGTATACCGCTCGGTACACCGTACCGTACCGATACCGAGCCCGGATCGAAACACCGGTACGGTACGGTATTGCGAACCTTGATACCAAGCATGTATTTTATCCATAAAGATACATACTTATATAATACTATTGAATAAAGAAATTCTTAGCCTATCAAGAATTTTACATGCCTTACAATCTTAAGCACACCAACTCAACTTTTCCATAGGGTGGATGTTTTTTAGCTAATGTTTAAAGGGTTACCAATCTGTCTTTGGTGACCGTTGTTCTACATAGTCATACAACTTTACCACTTGCTCCTTTAAATCCATCCAATTGGAGTTGAAGAACCACGATAGGCCATGAAAACCAAAGTAGAATCAGACCTTTTTCCAAGGAAGAAAATATTCTAAAGTCCAGATACTATACAAATTGGTACTTGATCCTACAGTTTCCAACCAATTAAACCTGATTCTCAAGGGGCGGCAACCACAACACAAGAGAACAGGATGTATAAAAGCAACTGAACCCGTTTTTGTATCAGCACATGAGCCAGAATTTAAGCATTCAAAACACATCTTCCCATTCAAGATTATTAAGCTTACAAGAGAAAAAAACACAACCTTTTCAAATTCAATAAATGTAAATTCTAACATATTAGGGTTGCTTCATTCGAAGGAGAAGGCAGTAGTTGTAACAGCTCAAAAGAAACCATTCCAATTTTCTTCGAGAAAAGACTACATTAAAAGAAAACGAGCCGATTCGAAGAAGCCCGCATGCTATAACCAGTAATCTTGAACACATCCAAATCGGCTCTTTGCCACCTTACCAAAGTGGCTGCCGCTAATATCTCAGAACCATCGCAAGAAAAGAGAACCACGAAGGCGGATGCAGAAGAGGAATAGATTACGCTAAAAGAAATCCTACATCCGTCGACTTACGTCTGCGCTTCCGAGTCGTCGGTGGAAGAGTCCGTCCCCGCTTACAGTGCCCTAGCGGCTGACGAGTTCTGCTCACGGCTCCATGACACAGTGCTTCTGGAACGTCGAGAAAATTCACCGCATCGCCGCCGGTAGAGGGCTCGAGGTGGGACCACCGCGGGTGAGCGTAGTGCAGCCCGAGTCGCCCGCCGGGTAAGACCGATCTCCCGACGTCGTGGCTCGGCCGCCTCTCCCAGCCCAGCTGTCGCCACCTAGTAGAGCGGGACCCACAGGCCCCGTCCAAAGAGAGAATAGAATTTGGGAAGCCGACCCCACCGGCGTCGGGTCCGTATAAAAGTACCTGAAATATTCCCCACGGGTTGACCGACCCGACGTGGGTCCCTCAGAGCCTGCCTGAGAGAAGCCACTTGGTGACACTATTGGTCGAAGTTAAGGGGTTGGATATCAACTATTGTTCTAATTGACTCGGTCAACTTTTTGTGGTAATCGGAGTCAAGTCATCGTGCTACTTATAGTATTATTTAAGATGACTTGAGAACAAAAAAGGGCATATTTGAAGCAACAATTTGCCAACCTGTGACAAATAGCATAAAAAGAGAAAAAAAAATGGAGAGTAAAGGATGATATGGTGATAATAGGATTACCAATGGGTGGATCTCTGATTTGGATCGGTTAATATATACGGATCCTCATTTAAAATCATTGGCTTTTCAGATTTAGATATGGATCCTAAGAGAACTCGATCCAAATTTGACCCGATAACAATCTTAGTCCTTATCCCTGACTTTTCTGAGAGCTTATTGTAGATTAATTTTATTTTTTTGACTTGGTTGGCTTGAAGTCAAACATGTTTGCTCTATATTATTTAATATGTGGCTTTGAGTTTGATTTTAATTGTGTGTATTGTTTCAACTATATTTACAAGAAAAACTGATCAATAATATTCTAAAGTTTAATCTCACATTCAGAGTTTGATGAATATAATCTTATTAACTTTAACTTAAGTATTTCGATATATATATATATATATATATATATATATATATAAGAAATATAATAAACCAAAGAACTTTTATTAATTGGAAAAATAAAAAGAATTGTAATAGGAAAGAAACCTAATATCTTATCTTGTTGCTATCTGATACGACAAATTATGGACCGAAGGCACGTCACCACATCTCACACGCAAAGTCAGAATCCATACCAAAATGTCACACGTCATCACATCCCACACGCCTCATTCCGATGAATCTAGGATGTCACCACCCTCACACGCAAGGTCAGAGCCCGTGCGTGCTGAGACACTGTCCGACACGCCCTTCACCTCAAACCGCATACGACTCACCCTCATGCCATAGTATAAGAACCCTTCGTGGATACCCACAAAAGAGGGATCGGAAAAAAAGGGAAAAACATTTAACTAACTTGCTCGTCAGAGCGGCTACAGCCGGGGATCACCCGACGAAAGCCTTTTTCTGCAGGAAAGCGGCCACCCACGATCCACGGGCATCCCAACCTCGAAAGCCGTCGACCGACAACCTCGCAGGCGAGCCATCGACTATTCAGCCTCCAGGCTGAGGAACACTGACCAAGAACCCGATACCGAAGGTCGATCGACGTTTCAGCGTCTAGCTCAGCCGACGGGACACTCTCGACATCGATCAGTGGATCAGGCTATGCTGACTAACGAGCCACAGCACATCTGTTCACAAACACTATCTTTCCCTAGTTTGTGAATCCAAGTGGTTTGTGAGGGATGTAGCAGTCCGAGGCCGGTTGGAGTTCTTCCTTGGGGCCTCTGTAAGCTTGTTTTGGTTGCTTTCGGCGGGGTATTGAGGAACTTCCCTAGTTTGTGAATCCAAATAGCTTCTGTTGGATGTAGCAGTCTGAGCCCAGTTGGACTTCTTCCTTCGTGTCCTGTGAGCTTGTTTTGGTTGCTCATGTTTGGTGGGATAATGAGGAAGGAAACCTAAAAGATTTAGCGGAGTCAGTAGACGAAGATAGATTAAGTTAGATGGCACAGCTCATGCCCACAACTGATCATAGCTAGTTTAATCCGCCGGCGGCCGGTAACCATGACGGTCGTCCAACTTCAAGATCATGGCTGATGTACATAAGCCAAAGTTAAGCTAAACAAAGTACTAATCAACAATGGGTTACCAATTGATCTGTTCCATTTAGTAGGATCTTGATGACAAACTTGAAACCTAACTTTGCATTGCAAGTTACGATTAGTAGAACAGCACGCTGCATTGTACTGCAAGCTTTGCTTTCGACCTAATGCTGGAAAGACCTACGTAGTTGGCTGTGTCAGATTAGGTTGGATGTGATGATTTTGTTACTACATTCATGTAACATATCGATCGCCAACTTTGCAGGCTATCATATACAATCTGTCCTACTCGATCTCCAGTGCAGAGGGATGCCTTTGTGACGCACACAATATCAGGAAGCAAATGTCTTGTTGATAGTGTTAGTGTTCTTTATTAGGTCATTTCTCCAAGCATTTTGATACTTTAAGCGAGTGATGATAAGAAGGTATATAGAACACAGCACGCGCAAATGTTTACCAGGAACAGCTTCAAGGTCAATCAAGACTCATCATGTGAGATAAGATCGATGGTGCAATTATGATTGCTAACGTGGAACTCAGAGCAGAGTTGATGAGCTTGCTGAAAGCTACGTAGTCTGCTTGATTCATTGGATGAATGATGGAGGGACTTCAACTACCTCCATTAAGTCTCTGTAATCTTTCTTCTTCTTCTTCTTCTTCTTCTTCTTCTTCTTGATGAAAGACTCTGAAATAACCTGAGAGTTGATGTACCATCATTGCCACAGCATTCAACCGAAGAACATGTTGAGTGATACAATTGGCTTTTGCACAAAAAGAAGGGATTGCATGTTGTGTATATTTACCACTTAACACTAAGACCAACTTTTCTTCTTATGGATCAGTCTCAATAGTATGTGTACAGTGTGCAAGCATATCTCGAGTCCATATTAGCTCACTGCCGATGTCATTGTTGGCTTTGACTAAGGAGCTGGCAGTGCTTATGTCCTCCAGTGATGTGGCTCGCATGTTGCAAATATCATAAGCTGGCAGAAATAGACAGTAGCTGAAATGTTGGTGTCCTATTTCAGATAAGACAAACTTGTATAGCTTAATGTATGTGGTAGAAAACCACATTAAACTAATCTGTGATGTACGCTCACCTATGCATGGTAATGTAGTCTTTGTCTTCTCCAATTTCACATCCATCCTAAAGAATGTGCTTTCCATGCATAATATACCACCAGATTCCGCAAGAAACCAGCAGCTAGGATAGAAACTAGTGGTAATATTGATAACAGGAAGAGCTATACAAAGCATGTGGTCATGTCATTGAAAGTAGAACCTCAAGAACATGGGTATGTCGACATCCTATATAATATTAAAGCTTAGGAATGTGGATTAAATTTATGGATTTGACTAGCAAAACAGCATTACTATTGAATAGAAGTTCAAAGGGTTGAAAAGTCATGATATTCCTAATAATTGGGAGTATATTTGTTTTCTGTCTATGCTCAGCAGGTGTTTCATTGGCACATGAATATATTGTTTTTCAGAATAAAGAAGGTTGTACTGGGGCCAGTGTTTAGAAAAAGAAATGAAAACTGCAGTAATATATTTGGTGGATGTAATTTATCTGGTTATTATCTAATTGTGTTGATATCAACATAACATGTCGACAGACCTTGAATTAAAATATCCATGAGAAAAAGCTTGAATAAATAAGAGTCATCCATGAATATAAAAATCCTAGAATGAACAACCTAATCCTTGTTCACAAACTTACTTTATTATTATGTGAAAGCATGTTTTGTTCTTTAGAACTCTCACAACTTCATCATGTTATGCTTCCAACACAAATCTTCTCTGCTCAATAAAATGCAAAAGCAACTGCTAGAGTTTTCTGCTCCTGTATGCTTCATCTTCTTCCTTTATTGAACTGAAGAGATATTAGCATTACATGTCTAAAAATCAAGGCAACCAGCATCAGTTACACCATGCTACCAAGCGCAGCATGACAGATCGGAAGCTACCTGTACTTGCAGTTGTTTTCTTTCTTTTCTGGATATGCCGATGAGAACAATCTCAGCTGTCTGATTCTTCGCAGTAGTTTTGTTATAGCAGTGATTCATTTGCATTCATGCCTTGTTCTCGACGTTGCATGTGATCATGCACCACTGCATACAACATTATCATTACGTGAAAAAGCTCACAAGACAACAGTGCCGGGGACATCTCAGAGATTAACATCTCATGGATAGTGAATGGCAGATCGCGTCTCGTTCGAGTGGGAATGAGGAGTTTTGATACCGCCCATTTCTAGGCTTTTGATATGAGTAGATTAACTCCTAACTGGTTGTGGACATCTCAGTAATACGAGGATATCAGCTTAGAAACACACGACCGATATTTCGAGTTCTAGAATTTGAAGTGACTCGTGATTTATGGATTCAATGCACGCATCGCAGAGTGACAACTTTCTATCTCATCTCATGCATTTAATTCCATGAGACTCATAAAATTCGACCTCAAGCTCATCTGCAGAGAGCCACTTGGCACTCTACACTATTTGGAATGGAGATTCGATTGTGTGAATCTAAAACGTGGAATCCTGGAAAGAATCGTACCTGCTCCACCTCTCAACGGAGGAGGAAGAGGACGGACATGCATATCATCTCTCCAGGCGTCGCTCGGAGACCAACTCCTCCTTTTTCTGGTTCCATTTGTCACCTACCACCGTCTGCTCTCAGCCACAGAAGCGAGGAAACAAGGCAGGCAAGGAGAACGAGGCCTTCGCTCCAGTTGCATGGACTTACGCTTGCAGCCTCAGTCGCACCTCAGTGTTTGTGCCCGTGCCCACACGCCATTTCATGCATGCATGGCTCCTGCTCGACGTAATTACCAATGATGAAAGGCTGCTGTTTTCTCTATCGGTTTTCTTATTTTATCTACTTGTCAGTGGGACAAGTCATTGCAGACATGTATATATATATATAGAGAGAGAGAGAGAGAGAGAGAGTTATCACATACTATGTTTGTTATATGATTATATTTCATAGCATGTTGTTAGCATGCATAACAGAGATTGGTGGATAAATATATCCCTCAAAAGACAAAAAACACTATTTGTAGTTATTACAAAAGAAAAATGCATCTTCTTGCATTAAACTATGGTGAAGAAGGATAAAAGGGAAGAGGAAAGAAGACTCTATCTTTGGATAGATTGTGTACATTAATTGCAACGCTAAACAAAGGATAGTGATGCCAATTAATTCCAATAAAGAAAAGAAAAAGCAGCATGAAAGGAAACACACTCACAAACAGTAGGCAAGTAGGCAATCTTTTACTTCAATGCATGGATGGGGTCGAACAAGAACTGTTTGAGAGTCATCAGTGACTCCCAACAGTAGCTTTCTTAGTGTGGATGACCTCACCTTGGAATTGGCAAGCATCCAATAGCTCTTCCAGCATGCATTTTTTATCACCCTCTGAGGTTGGCGCAGTTCATGCCCATCCAAACTTGCATGCCAAATGGCAGGGGGGGTTTCTATACAGAACTCAGAACTGGTTGTAGGTGTTATTTGATCCACCAAGTGTATATAAACAGACGGGGAGGTGGTCACTGCCAGGCATACTTCCTCTTCCTGGGGGTCAGTGAAAGGCTAGCAGACATGGAGGTGAGTGGTGAAGGGAGGGAGATCAGAAGAGATGGTGGCCATGGGAGAGGGAGCAGAAGAGTTGCAGCTACTGAAGATGAAATCGATGGGATGCCCGTAGCTAAAGCATTGCCAGCAGAAAACACTGACGTGAACGAAGAGAAGTCATGCAGCCAACCCCAAGAGCAGGTTCCTCTTCTTCTTCGTCTTCCTTGCTTTCTCTCTCTCTCTCTCTCTCTCTCTCTCTCTCTCTCTCTTCTCTCTCTCATTGTTAATGGCTCACAGAAGATTAGTACATCAATACAGAAGCCTCGATGGAAGAAGTTCCTGGCTCACGTTGGACC